TAACTATCTGTTGTACTTGAGATATATAATCTGCCCGCCCAAAGACCACAAATATGATACAGAAAGGTGTAAGAAGTACAGCAAATGGAACACCCTTGATCGGGCCGCTGACTGACCATGGGCATTCAAACGGCGGGTCGTCCGATATAGGATCTCTTACCATGGTAGAGACCAGTGATCATCATTGAGGCTTCATCTAGCAGATATACATCAACCCGCTGGCACACTGATCTGCAGAAATCGCGGTGGCTTCTCTATCGTTCCAGTGTTTTGGCACTTGCCATACCGGTGAATTCGTGTTCGTCCAAAGCCAAAAAACCGGCCCTGCGCATCACTTCATGTCGCTTACCTATAATATCTGAATACCGCTCTGCGCTGATATTCAGCTCTGAAATGGACTATGATATGACAATTCTACGTAGTACAAAGTTATCTTTGGTGCTCTCTTGGTGATCTTGTCGCATTCAGAGAAATACAAGATTTATACCGAATTACGTACCAGATTAGGTACGGGCCTCAACCCACCACACTCACTGAACTTACCCCCGCACTTGGTATCAGTCATCATTTATGTTAAACTGAATAGTAACAGAAACGTAGCAAGTAGTACAGTCATGAGTTCAATAAAGTAACACTTAAGATTCTAGGTTCGATTCACTTACTAAGTAGAAAATTTCTAATTTAATCGTAAAATCATTGTCAATATCGTTTTGTCAAAATATAGAGGGTAATTGAAGCAAGAATTTCTTTCATTCCTACCGTCGCGTCGACAAATCGATGAGTAGTTTGATTTTGTCGGTCCTTCAACAAATACTATAATAGCTTATATAATTCACGACCGCTTGTGTCACGGCGCCAGCCATATATGGTGATGGGATGGACACGATTCACGGTCGAATCGACCCCGCGTCGTTCAAGGGCAAGAACCCTAAGGGCACTATGTGGAGATGTGGGGGCTTGGGTAGGCGGATTCTAACTGTATATATTGTGGTAACTAGTGGAGTCGTTACTAGACTCCAAAATTCAGTCTCTGAAATCAAACCCTATAGACTTGGGACCCTCTGCCTAGCTATTAGGTTATTTAACCTGCGATACAGACCCTCTAACAGCTTGCCCGGTATCATATTAAACAACGTAAGAGAAACGGCTGGGAAAGTTTGTGAAGCTGATCCGAGAGGTAAATTCATTGACTTTTGCTCTCCCCAATTCTTTTTGCAACTGCAACTCAAGCTTGCTCATAAGACGAATTGCAGCTTCAGAAATGAGTTTCAAATCAATCGTTTCCACACCGTCAATAATCAAACTCAGGTCGGCAATCGTTTCAGTCAACAGTGTTTCCATCCAGTCGATCTTCAGCTCGAGATTGCTGTTTCTCTGCACAAGACGTTCGATACAATTCTCACGCAAATCTCACGTTGCTGAAGTTGCTGTTGTAGAACATCCACAGATTCTACGAGCGGTTCTAGTATATTTTTCTTGAGTTCTTCATTCTGAAGCTTCTCTTGGTTGTGGCCTGTAGTAGCCTTGTCGATGCGTTTGCGAAGGTCGGGTATGTCCTTTGCGAGATTGACATTCTCAACTTTCAGATTGTAGATCTCTCTTCGACATTGTTTGAGTCTGACACGAAGATCAGAGATTCTTTGTTCTCTACCAGCGTCGTATCGAGTGTTTTCTTCTCTCGACTTTTTCTGGTTGGCTATCCAATCTGTCTTAGCACGGTGAAACAATTCCTTGACTCGAGAAGTTTGCGATATAAGGCGTTCAGCCGCTCTTACTTCCTCACGAAGCGTATAGCTAGTTCCTGTGAAGGGCTGAAGCAGAATTGATTCAATCGTACTAGGCCACAAACTGTTTACAACAATCTTGAAGAAGGAAAGAAAACTCGCTCCGTTTCCTAGGGGAAAGGGGAGCGAAATGGCGGTGTCTCTACCCCGCGCCGATCTTCTACCTGACCGCCATACGCCACCGTCATCACGACTCTCGTTTCCGTCTCCCTATCGCATCTCCAGGGTCAATCTGGTGGCTCCGGTTGAGATTTCCCTCCCCCTCTCTCTCCTCCCACCCTTTCCACCTCGTTTCGCTGTCCAGTCCACCGGGTCAGGCTGGGGCTCGGGCTTTCCCTTCTGAAGAAAAAACATAACTTAGGTCGCTCCACCCTGTGAGTGGGGTATTAATGTGTATGACATTTACACTCTAGCGGCAAGATGCAGACCGTGTCAAATATTATTTTTCCATTGACTTTGAAGCTCTAGCTAGATCGCTCTATATCGAACAGGAAGTACAATGAATAGATAGGCGTCCTACCCTTCCTAATTACGGTAACCTAATCTACCCTGCATTGTACTATTTAAAGTCGAAACAGTCGACGGGCCCGAAACAGATCAAGTTGGAAATGAGGAAATGTGCACGTTTTCACACTCTCTTGTGTAATGAGCCGGTCATCCCGAGATGTCTCAGATAATATGTAATTTACGTACTGATGAGATACGGCTACGGTAGGGGCAGCAGTATCGATGTGTGAGAGGGATGAGGAGTGAGATTGCTGTGGGGGAGAGATTCTACCTAAGCTATGGACTAGGGTGAGTGGCAGAATCACATGCCATGTAAACAGGAGTCCTAGTCGGGACCCCGCTGATTCCACAATAAATACATCAAGGTCCTGCTAGCCGAGTCCCCACATCTCCGCACGGCCCCGTAGGGTTCTTACCCTTGGGCGACACGGGGGCGATTCCACCATGAATCATCTCCCCATGCGACAGAAGCCCACGCCGTGACACTATTATAGAGATTAATTAGGCTTAACTATAGTATTTAGTTTATACTTAAATGAATATGATTATACTTAATATGATTATACTTAATATGATTATACTTAATCCTATAGACTTATACTTGATTAGTTCTACTGACTAACTATAAATACTTATTAGCTAATACCCTACTATAATCTATGTATCTATAAGGAGGAAAGGAAGGAAAATCAATCTCACATTAAAGCGTGTTGTGAACATGACAGGAGGACTTGGGTTGCGGACTTGGATTTCTTCTGCAGAAGAAATCAGTATCGGAGGACAGAGACGCCCACCACGTGTACCACGCACACCACGCAGACAGTTGAATAAGAGTTTATGAGTCCTTCTAAAGCTTTTCCTATGTAACTGGCGTACAACAAAGAGTTCCCTTCAATCCTCTATAACAACGCTCATTTGCATATCCTCTTCGAGACCACCAAGAAGCGCTCCGCGAATGAAAACACTGATTTTACTACCGGTCGTCCATTCTCACTGACTCGTCCTTAGGCGGAATGAACGTACCGACGGACAAACCCTTGATCAGCTGATGACTTGGAGGCCTGGAATTTACGTCCGTTCCATCGTTCCATGGCACTTTATCCCGTTTTGCTCGACAAAGCTGGGAGCAGAGTTAATGCTTCCTTCCCATTTGGGATTGATGGCATCACCATTGAGAACTTACTCCTTCCATAGTTCCGCATGTTCCTTGTACATCCTCTTGGTCTTTGCGATCCTCTTGTGTTTGTCCCGAATGGAATAGCATCTTTCATGTGCATATGCCCCGAAGACATATCCGCTCTTTTCCAAACGCTCTCGGCACTTCTTTTTGGCGAGCTCCTCTCGCTGTGCAAAAAATTGTTTCCTACCATCACAGGTTAGAAAGCCAAGAGAGCGTAACGATAGGACACAAATGCCGAAGCATGGGAAGAAAGGAGCATAGAGTACTTCAAAGTAATGAGGGCATGATTAGGGCCATCAAAAAAAACAATACACAAATAAAAATTATTGTGGGGCTCGTGTGCTCATTTGGGTATGGACTGAGCTTGGTCTGAGTGCTCAGTAGATGCGCCTGATCATTCTGATGAGCATCTGACGGTCTGAGTAATTAGTGAGCACCGAGCAGCCACTGAGCGCTCATTGGACCTCAGTAATTTCTCACGTGATTGCTCTGACCTGCTCAGTGACTCTGAGTCCGGACTGAAATGTACTCAGTGAGCCTGACTCTGAGCGTCCTCATAGAAGCGGCGGCAGCTCAGATAAGAAAGCCCCACCCGGCAGAGGAAATCCACCTCAGGTTTTGTCAAACAAGCATAAGTTTTTATTCCTTGCGATAGAAAATCCATATGGATTAGTAGCAGTGATATCACGAAGTTTCTCATGTAATCTTTCCTCACCTCACCTAGCGTTCATATGCACTGTCTATATTACTAAGTTAACCTAGACTGGCTTTAGTCTCAGCAATCAACCTAAGAGTGCCTTGCTCCATGTATCGTGCGTCGTATCGTGCGTCACAGTTGGTTTTAGATTTTGCTTCCCAAAAGGAAGGCTTTTTTTTTCACTCATAATCCGACAAGGCTTTCCGGTGAAGGGAAAAGGCGTTGATCTTACCCCCGAGCCCGCAGCGGTCTTTCAGACACTTTGATTCGACGTGTGAAGGGGTGAATAAAATTTCATAGGTCGAGAAGTGTAACGGGCCAGAGCCCGGTGGTTAACCATATGCCATGGCTTTCCGGATACCGCCTCAGCAGAAGGGGGTCCGAGCGAGGTTCTGGTGGATCCTACCCGAGGACGCTCTTAAGGACTGCGACCGACTCCTACCCCTTCTTCCTTCTTTCCTTAAGATTGTTGCAAACAGCATGTTGGCCTAGTACAATTGAATCAATTCTGCTACAGCCCTTCACAAGAAGCTGACATTATAACGCGAGTGCGCCCTCATTTTGACACTACATGCAGAAATATTTTCGTTCTCGAGTTAACATAATATCTGGTGATATCACCCGACAATCAGTAGGTAATATCATTTAAAGGTCACAGCCTTCTCGCAATCTACAACCTGTATCATACTACTGCGCAATTCAAGATGTATGATCCTTTTGCTAGCGTGACAGTTGATGAACAGAGCCCTGGCCATAGGAGTATAGTCGGCCAAGACACTACTCATGGTACACCCGCCATCTCGCTCAACGTTACGAATGCAGAAAGTGAGCTTCAGACTAATGTGGCATCTTTCTTGCCGCTAGAGGCGCCACAGTCACCAGACCCCGCTGATCTAATCGCCGACATACAGAAGGCAGCTGAAGATGTGTCACAGCTCATTGGGCGATTCGGCTTGAAAATGGCTCAGATACTCCTAGCATCACGTACCAGGGACGCTCTGTTCAAATCGAATCGCAGCCAGATGCAGCTCCTGTGTCTGGGCTATGCTGACGAGTTCAGCTGTCAGCTCACATAGGACTATCACGAACCGATTGAGCTCGAGGGGGAGGCCCCGATACTGTGGTGGCTGTGGAGCCCGCTGCTCGAGTGGCTCTCGTCGACTATTGGCTCAAGCGGCTGTACGCTCATGTTCACGCCTGCCTGCAAAGCCGACGTTGACTTGCCCGGCAATATAAGCATTCGACTTTGGAGCACTACAGAAATATAGAAAATATAGAGCTTACGGCCACGTACGGTGGTCGCTTTGCGGAGAGGCGTGTCTATGACGCGCCTGTCGCGAGGTTTTGCTGCCGAGAGTCTGCTTTTGGGAGCAAAACAGTCGCCTTGTCCATTGACGAAAGTCAAGTGCCGTACGAAGGGGCAGGATCGTTTGAAGTGGCGTATGATTATCTCTTGCCGCGAACTCGCAGCATTTGGCGTAGCGCCATGAACGTCTTCCCAAATAGAGAAGAGCAGGAGCAACTTCTCACGGCTCTCGTCGGAGCTTGCGAAGCCAAGGACGACCCAATGCCCTTATTGGAGGAGAATGATTTGCAATGCAGACAATTAATACGACGACTACCGCCAAAGGCTCGAACATAGATACTGGAAACAGGTCTCATCGGATAAGAAAAGTCCCACGCAGTAGGATTGCCAATAGCCCTCCTCCGCTAATTCCCGCTGTTTGCCTGAGCCCACAGGCCAAAAATTCCGACATATTTTCTGACTCAGACGACGTCAGTCCTCATCACGCGGACCTCAGAATAAAGATCGCTCGACGGCTCTACCAAACACATTGCGGCACATTTTGAGAGACCAATGCTCTTGAATCAACGCTTCGATGATGCTAAGAGCGATTCGGTTAATATTGACGACGGGAATAGTGCCTAGAAAGACAAAGACATCGGCAGATCATCCAAAATTGACTCCGAGGCTGATGTCAGTATGGTCATTCTTCAAGGTCGTGAAATCTTGGGGATTATTCAAGATCATGTTGGTGATGTCGTCCAAGACGCTTTTGCAATCCCAGGCACCAATTTTAGTTTTGAGGATGTCCCGAGACCATGTGATGGCCTCGCAGTGTTGTACGCGAGAATAGAAAAGCTTTAGAAGGACTCAGAAACTTTCATTCAACTTGGCTGCGTGGTATCAAGAATCTCAAAGGTTGAAGAGAAGAAAAAGAAAAGAGAAGAGACTACAGTTCATCCTGGGTTTTGAGATGGTGCGTGTTGTGTGCGTGGCTCACGTGGTAGGCGTGCGTGTTGTGTGCGTGGCACACGTGGTAGGCGTGGACGCATGTCTCCTATCCTCCCATGTCCCATCCTCTCTCTCGTCCTGAGTCTGCTCAGTCCTGCCATATTCACAACAACTCTGGACGAATGGTAAAACGAGCAATTGAAGTATGAGTACCATTTATATAAATGAATTGGACTCACGACGATTTATGTAAAGAAGTAGCTTCATAAAATCAAATACACTGGTCGTGTCTCGTCAGAGACACAACAACTGACGAGACACAACAACAATAGTTTAGGCTAACTTCTTTCGAATATACGCTTAGGGAGGCGGGCCCATACAATAGTTTTCTTTTTTTCCCCTAGGAGAAGAGGCGTTCTGCCATAGCGGTCTGCAAAACACAAAACACATGGCTTACGAACCGATAACAGTAGAGCTAGTCTGTGATTGGCTAGACGCGACGGATCTGGCTACGATGCTGGCTACGGTACTGGCTGCAATACTGGCTGCGGATCTGGTGTAATCTGGCTGTAATGTTGGCTCGGTGTAATTCTAGGTAGGATTCAGAATGTTGGTGTGGCCTCTGACGAGGCACATTTTCAGTCCTCAGACCACTTTGGTCCTAGGTAGTAAAGTCACTAAAGTGGCTCGTGGACGATGCGATAATGGTCGAATTTTCACGTATCTTACCTTTGACATCAGAGATTCAGGTCTTATACCCTGATGTTCATGTCCTCACAACTAAGTGAATAGAATATACTGGGTTTTGCTGGTAGCTTTGTCCAGACGCTATGCCTGAGCAGATATTGTACATGTGCACAGTACCGTGTTGCAAATGAATATGATTGATGAATATAATTAACTTCGTCATACAGCATGACGGGTGGTAATACTGAATTATGTAGTGACCGTCGATGAAAGGATAATGCGTAACGGCAGACGGAGTCAAAATCTCAACCAACCCATATTGAAAAGAAAATATATTGGCTCCGAGTACGGTTGCATGTTTATCACGAGAAAACGGTACGCACGCTGATTTTGGAACCAACTTGTTACTTGATCACGCAAACTCGAGATTGGTATCCACATCGAGGCTAATTATAGGCGTCAAAAACAATGCCCCTACGGGAGAGACTTAACCAAAGTACACCAGATCAGATCATTTGATATGAATATTATGGTGAATACTCCCTGTGACCAGACTGCAGAAAATGAAAAATGAATGTAGTGTTTTTATCGCGGAGCGAAGCGACGCTATAATACTAGGGCAAAATTCTCCTATCAGAATACTCACTATCCGATTGGTCCACTGAGTGGTCTCCCTGTCCAAAACACGTGACCATCTTCTAAATAGCTTCACAAAATTCTCCCCTAGGGGAATTTGGTAAGCATTTCGATCTGATTCCCTGTTCGTTGACTGGCTGATCTTCCCTGTTCAAACCACATGGTGACATGATACGTCCAAAACACGTGAGTTCTAGTTTTCAAGAATGTCCGGGCTTCAATTACATTCTTCCCGTGGGTACCGAAATTCGCAAATGGGAACCAATATATAGGGACTTTTTCGCCATAGGGCCCATATTCCCACCTCTATCAGTTAGATGTTGATGAGTGTTGAAGTCCAGGTGAGGCTCGGATTGAGGCTCGACCAGCCGCGGCGAAGGCCAGCGGGAAAGAGTCACGTGGAACCCGAACTGCCCGCAAATCAAGGATGCCATGACTTAACGAAGGGCTCGCAGATTCCCCCAAGATAAATTACTAGGTAGAGCCAGCCTAGAGGGAATCAAGAGTCAGAGTTGTCAACCACACGCATAAGTAACTCGTAGCTATCGTCCCTCTACCTCATCGCCGCCTTTTCCTGACCGCTTCATTCCCAGTAACTTGCATACGACCCAGTCCCCCCTTGGGACAAGTCCTTTCTTGCGATTTGCCCCTTACAGTGACCGGATATGACAAGGAAAGGGCGCCCATGTTCTTAAGATTATTCTCTTCTGGCATGGTATTAACAACGAAGTATTATATGTATTTTGAGGCTTCGGAGCTGTACTGTAACCGTCCCAGACAAATGGCATGATCGGCATCCCCTTTCGACTTGTCAGTGTCAACATGACTAGGCCGAAGGCCTACCAGCTCCTGGCGCACGCCTCGACCCTCGCGTCTTTGGGCTGTACATGAAAATTGTTTGTATGGCATGTGATACTGCCGACTCACAGCAGTCCATAGCTTAGGTAGAATCTCTCCCCTTCAGCAATCTCACTCCTCATCCCTCTCACACATCGATACTGCTGCCCCTACCGTAGCCGTATCTCATCAAAAATCTCAACCCGAATTTACGTTGAAACAGCGTGGCGAGACGAGCTGCCTCGAACCCACCATTGACCTCTAATATTACCAAATATAGTCCGCGTTCCTCCAGTATTGTGGTCAAAACAACACGCCAAGAAAGCTGGCTAAGGCATCTTCGAATTTTGCGGAGCTTAGTACTTCTGCCGCGCGCATTGCAACTACACCTCGTAATGCGTCCCCCGTCCATGTTGCAGTCGCATTAACTGAGAACGATCAACATGCGTAGTAGATGGTTGATTTTGGCGCATCGGACTCCGCAGCTCAACGGAGTGGCTGAAACTAAGAATCGGTGACTGATTGAACCACTTGTGGCTGTCCTTTCGGAGCATCAGCTTCCAAGGCACCTTTGGAGTGAGCTGCTTTTGGGAATCAATTACACCATGAATCGTCTTTGGCATCCGACTTTATATGACGTCTTATAAGGCTTTCTATGGCAAGAAGCCAGATATCTCGAATCTGGGCGTCCTTGACTGCCAGGCTTGGTATTTGATTCCACAGGAACGGCGCGCAGATAAGTTTTCTCCGCACATGGCTGAATCTAGACTGGTTGGCTACTGGACCGATGGCTAGAGGCTGTATGATATACAATCTAAACGCATCATTACATCCAAAAACGTCATTTTCAACGAGAACGGTCTCAAGGACCTTCCAAAGGCAGATTACGACCTCGATGCAGGCCAGCAACTTCAGGGCCACATAGACCCTGCAGTCGATCAACGCAGATATGTGCCTGCCGAATCCTTGAACACCACCAAACGGATCTGGTTATCGAAGATGCGCCACGGCCAGTGTCTCCAAATTCTTGACTAGAACGGATGAGCTGCCAATTTCGGAAAGATCAACACTTCCAAAGACTTCCTTTGACAGGGAGCTTCAGATTCAGAACACCTACGACAAACTTGAAACTCAACCAGAACTCGATCAGACTGCGACAGAACTCGACACGTTTGCCTCCTACGCCCTCCCCATCATGAACTTCTCGCTTAACCTCAACTTACTTCTACCTTACTTCTCCCTCACCTCGTTCTTCCTTCTTCAACTATCTTCCTCGATCTTACACCCCTCTCTCCCACATACTCACGGCCTCTGCATCAATATGGACCTCAGCACCCCTACCTCGGATTCAATCTACACCACCAATTACTTACCACTTACAAGCCTATTTTCATTGACTTCAGAATCAAGAGTTACCTCCACCAGAATCAAGAGTTACCTCCACAATCGCACTTGGTCATTGGTACGACGTTTCAGCCTCCTTTGCACTTGCTTACATCAAACACGGACTCTCCAACTTAATTCCCAAGTCGGACAGCGCAACGGCCGCAGACCCGGTCCCTCGAACGGCGGCAAGATTGATAAGGAAACACTTCCGACATGGACAATCTTCCATTTCGCCATTCACAACAGCTGGGACGCGGTTAAGCAGGAAGCAAAGCTAGGACCCTCCCACGTTCGTCTTACGGATCAAGCGTTCTCTACTGTCTGTGCACGATCACTCCCTATGACCGCGGTGCGCGCTTCCAAGCCGCTTTCAACCAGCATGGGGATACACGTCCAACACATATCCCTCTCGAACCCCCAACCATTATCTGGGCCAATCGCAAGCCATGGTTCGTTGT